TGAGCTCTCCACGAAAAACCTTTATTTCCTCCATGATATCACAGATTTGAATGCTGTCCAGTCGTATTGTACAGGGGACTTTATTACTTTTCTTGATTTTATTTTAGTAATTTAGAAGTATTTTAATTTATATTATCTGTTGCATAATGTGGCATCCATGTTGGGTAGACCGTCGGATATACAATAACACGGTTCCCTTTGGTCTTTGATTAAAACTGACTGACTATTTACGTTAAGTACTTATAAATTAAATAATCATGTCAGCACACTGGGTAGCTTGCGTAACTAGCGTGAATGCTACTACATTTCTCATGCGCAATATCTGTGTTCGAAACGGTCCTGATCAAGCTGTGGACTCTAGACTCTTTTAACGGTAGCGGGACGTTGAAAAACTTCTACAGAGGGTAAAAAATGTAATTGTTCCTTTCCTTACTGTAGCAAAACTGAGAAATGCCCTTTAAACTTTTTACTTTCACACGAAGTTTCTGAAGGAAAAGTATCGCACTAATAAGTTTAGAAAACGTCTAATATATATTTATAAAATGTGGCATTAATTACATTCTCTGAAAAATGGTGCATGGTTTCGTTTCTTGCTTCAAAAAATTCGACGGTTTTGTAGCAAAAAATGTTCAAATCAATAAATGAAGAGTGGTCTTCGTCTATTTCTTGAACGTGTTGAACCTTAAACATTTATCCTGTTTGACGTAATATTTAAATCTACAAAAATTCTATACCAGTTAACGACGAATGGGGACAAAGGCTTCTTACAGTGAGAACTAAAAAAAGGCTCAAAGAACACTCTAATAACCCGCTATCCAAGGCACTGACAAACCTCAAATTCAAAGAAGTTAAAATTAAGGCCTGCTAGACTAAAATCAAACATGCAGTAGTCGTTGGAATTATAGCCCTTGTACCGTTGTGTACACATGTAGGTTCATTTTGAAACAGGTATTTGCCGTTTGAACACGTCGTGGTCCACAGGACCTGCTAATGTGTTTACTTAACGTCAAAATCACGCCATCACGTGGCTACTATTTTAAACTAAGGCTACTTCAAATGACCCCCGCATTTAGCCAACAGTTTCCTGGAATGGCAACGACTAGGTACAACGGCTTGCCTTCGAAAATTTCCAAATATTTTGTACCTGAAAATTTTCACAAAAAAACGTAGTTATAATGGGCACTTGCAATCATATCCGCAGTTTTATAAATAACTTTAAATAAAGCGTAGCATAGCATAGTAGTGTACGGCTAGATATAAACGTGAAGCACAAGACAACCGATGGACAGAATCGTCGCGCTGAACGGCAATCTATTATTTTTTATCCGCCTATTATTGCCAGTCTTCGGCTGCTATGGGATGGAACGATGCAAATGACGGCATCGTTAACCCTTTTGCTGGCTCAACCCTATGAGCAATGGTAATCGCAAGATGGCAAAAACTCCCTGTCTGATATCTAATGCGACAACTGTTGCAGCCGATATAGTCCGCAAAATAGTTCTAAAATAAATGTTTAATGAAAACCTATATGCGAATTTTTCGAGGAGAGCGAGTCGACGACTCTCACGATGTACATGGCAAATATGGTGTGTGTTGAATATCTTGTAAACATACTGTGGGTTGCCACTCGTATCGAGTATTATAGTATATTCTAACAGCCAGTCGCCCTGCCTTCAGTGCATGGGCTGTTTTTATGCATGCTCTAATTCAGCAGCAGCCACAAACACGAAGACTGATACGAGGTGTTTTTATCCAGTACTGCCAGCGCACCCCCAACGCCATCTGGATTTAGAGGGAGATCTGTGAGCTGTGACGTAACGGTCCGCAGAACCTCTTGTACTCCGGTGTTTTTGAGGTAGGAACATCGATTGTTTGTAACTGTAAAATAAGCCAGTTTTAGAATTTACAATGTTAATCTCATTATCCTTTCAGAAGTAAAACACATTTTTATCAGACTTGTGATGACATTTCAATCATACTATTAGGAATTATATTCCCGAAGTTAATCTTGGTTGCCGTTTTGTCAAGAATAAACAAACCTCTACCACATTTGCCGATGACTACTGTGGGGTGTCTGGCTAAAAGATTTTACCTCTTTTCAGTTTTAGCCAATAGCGTTGACGTAGTTATCCGGTCACTCGCAAAACGTGCAACCAGGGGACATCAAACTTGATCACATAGGTAACACGCAAGGGCGATTTAATTAATTATTTAATCGAAGGATTTAACGGGACTTATGTAATAGAAGTTAAATTGTGGTAACATAGATAAGGATATCGATATGGCAAAAAGGTAAATAGACAGGGCTCGTCCCTGAAGATAATAGTCATGTTAATTAAGACGAAAACAACAATCCTTTATAGTTTCATTGGATTCGTGTCTTATCGTACTTGCGACATCGTCTTAAGCTACTAGTCGTCGTATTATAATCCTGTTGATTTTGCAGCAGTGATTTAAGGTTATGAAGGTCTCGAGTTCATAAGTGAACGTTTAAGCAGCGGTCGTATTAAGGTTAAAGACGGTCCCTACAGGCATTATCATCATTATGGAAACTTTTGAGTCATCAAATTATTGTGATTTTTATAAATTCTATTCTACATTTATTCACCTTATACTTTGAACATATGTACAAAAACGGTATAAAAATTCTGCTAGAATAGAATAACTTAAATCAGACCGTTTTTATGCTAGACACGTTTAGGCCACTGCTAAAAATTAACTATTATTTTTACCTGTTGTGTATAATAATTCGTTGCCCTACAGAACCATATCTTCAGGATGCAAATCAAGTTGAACTAATTCAAAGGGTTTAAACGAATTTTAAAAGACATCTGGAAAAATACTGCTTCAAGTGGGTCTTTGCACGTCGGAAACATTAACAAAAAGCTGTTCCGAGAATACTGATTACGTTTGAAGTACAATATTTCGCATTAAACCACAAAACGTGACCTGTTTTCGTCGATGGTAACTTTATTTAACACATTTTAATAGTCTCACTTCCATGCTGTAACTCTAATCATGACGCTTTCTTTCATAATTGATTCTCGACTGCCCATACTAAGAAAGATCCTGATACCAGCGCTGTTTTAGTATACCTTCAAGGACTGCACTTTATACATCACCCTCCTTATAATGCGCTGTGTTTATCGGAATATCTCATTCTTTAGTTTTTACAACACCCTTTTAAATTTATTAGGGTTCTGATCTTAAGTATCGGCTGCCCAAATTTAGAGCAACCTTGTGCATGCGCTTGAAGCATTAACGAGAGAAAATTTACCTGGTGTTGTCATCGTTAAAAAACGCCTTAATGTCCTAAGATATTGCTTCATTTTTCTTATTCTTTGCAACGTTTTTTAGGAGTACGTCACTGAGCAACCTATTGTTCTGGCCCTTCAGGAATGCAGACATAAGTGAGTTGTAACAGATCAAAGATCGGTCATAACGGCCAACATGGTAAATCGATTGGTGGCCGATGGGCAAACTTTTTTTGAACTTCTAAGTTTTTGCATAGATTAAAAAAGAGAGGAAAATGCCATAGGTAGGATGAAATAATAGATACATTTTGTCGGCGATCTGCTACAGTTTGTGGTTTTGAGAGATCATATCGGATATAAACAAGCTTACTTGTCAAATTTCCAAGAGTAATTAGAGTTGTACTTTATCGTACACATCAGGAAGACTGTCTCTGAATTGTCGAAAGGACTTCTGCGCATGGAACATATTGAGATAAAATATTGAAAAAGCTAAAGAGCCCTTTGCACGTCATAATATAATAAAACAGACGAATAAGAAAAAGATATATTTTAGGTTCTGCTTGAAAATTCAACGGTTTCGCAACGTTTTAACACAACACGTGTGTGTGTGTGTGTATATATATATATATATATATATATGTCAGATTTGTATACAATTTATTAGCTGTTTACACGCAATATGACCAACAGCTACACTAACTGATGATATGAATAAAAACATATACACATGGTGTGTCACCTGAATAAGCTTATAGCATTTCAAAAGCCTACATTTAAAATTTTTTTTGTCACAAGACAAGATTAGCTTCTCAGAGTGACGAAAAAGTACGAAAACTGCTTGCTTAGTAATTCATCAAGAGAATTGACACACACTTTTCATATAAACAGCTTGATTCACCTCAGGGCGACTTAACGATAGCGCGTGAATCGGGAACAGGGCCCCCCAAAAGACCTGTCAATAACGAGACCTGCGTAACTTCCCACAGGATAAACTTGACCTAGATACAAGAGTATTGCACCGGCATGGTACTATTCGAAAACATTTCTCGCCCGAAACCTTTTACTGGCTCAAGACCAATGGTTACTCTTTTTGTTTAAAGTAACTAGCCGCCCTTTCCGGGACCTGCATCGCCTGCATGCATTCCAACGTGGTGCAGTGCTAACGTGTTTTTTTACCGTTATTAAATTTACGGACACGCGGTGGTCTAGGCTCGAAACCATGTATTTATTTATTCAAACATATATTTAGTGATAAAATGCATTATTTCCATAAACAATTTCTGTTTTAATTGCTATTTAAGAGCTAAAATCTTAACTGTGCTACGATTATGCAAGCACATATAATATTGCGCCACTATTAAAGCAAAACGTGATGTTACGCTATATATTATAATTTTCATATCGTATCACCGCCTATTTCCTGCACATAGGATAACACCATATTATCATCGTATAACGATAATATCCTGATATAACCAACCTAATTTCTAAAACACTGAAGATTCGAAATTATAGACGCATGCGAGTCTATGTAATTTTGTGCCCGTTGATTTGACAATTACTATTTATTTAGGTTTTGTACACAACGGTTCCTAGCAATATTCCTTAACCCATTTACGACAGTGAATAAAATATAAGAAAAATCGGATTTCGAGTGTATGTATATGTATCATCTGGAAAAATTATAGTGTATTTTGGTTTTCTTTTTAAGTTTAAATTTCAAAGGTAGATTCATTAAACGAGCAATTAGAAACGGGTCATATCAATACAAACGATATGGAGTTTATTTGCCATTTATTATTAACTATTATCACTATGCAACTAACTATGCAACCTATTATTAGGAAAACTCTATTGCTCAACGACTCAAAAATTATACACGAAAGTCTCAAGGAGTCATAATAGTTTGTGGTCACACAATTTTAGCGGTTGAAATATAAAAGCTGGGCAACAAATTAATGTTTAAAGTTACCCTCATTACTTAGCTCTGAGTCACTTGTCGGTACCTATAAGTTCGTTCATGGACCGGTCTTGTAATTTCGTTCATTTCGAGTCGTTTCACATGTTTATATCGTGGAAACACTTAAAATGTGAATTCGGTATTTTTAATAGTTCGTTTCAATGAACGTTCACATACATACATGTATATATATACATATCTCGGGTCGCTGCTTCAGGTGCCACAAATAACACATATTGCACACTTTACAGTTAGCTTTAATCTTCGAATTATTTACATTTTATAATAATCTCGCCATTAGAGTTTCTAGCAAAAAAAACAATGAATATCCTACTAGAATATGCTTTCCTCATCTGTAGTTGAATGTACAAGTATTATCTTAATAAAAGGTCTCAACGATATCCTTTATTTCTGTTAAAAAAAACCTGTTTCAAAGTGCATCGTTATCGTTCTAAGATTAAAACGATTTTATGACAAATGGTAAAAATAAATAAAATAATAAATGGTAAATAAGTACACACTTTTTTTATTACTATTTAACTAAAGCTAATGGAATGCTACCTTTGAAGATGAGTGTTATATTTTTCTTCTCACCAGAATTGTGTTAAATTGGCGTCGTTCGCGTGTTCAATAATTTTAACTATCGCTTTCAATAAATGCAATTAATTAATCGGTACTCAAAATAATAACAATATTTTTCATCTTGCAGGAAGCAATCCTATAAAAGTATATTAGGTTGACAGAAGCAAATTTGGGAGATTTTGTAACGTTATAGCTTCTGAATTGCGCGCCGCTGGCAGCTAACGGAATTTGGCTTATACTTCAATCTCCTAGAAACTTGTGAACGGAGAATGAGAATGGATTTGAGAATGAAAAGAGGAAGAAACGAGTTCAGAACGAAAAACATCTAAGCCTTGACAATCAACTGGTCAAATGTTTGTTCTTTAAAGCCCACGTGCAATTTGCAGATCTTTAATTAACAAAAATCGCGTGGAGTAAACGGTCTATAAACGAAGCATAATAAGGGACCAGGTACCGCCCTAGAAAGCACTCGATTTTGGTAGCGGTATCCGCTAAAATTAGACATAAGGTGATGATGTTCGCAATGAGCAATAAAAACATCTGTTGCTATGAAATGCCCATCTAAGAGGAAGCAATGAAGGTATTTCGTTATTTCAAGTTTTTTAAGAGACTCGAGGACCCATAAGGGCACGACAATCGAAAGCATGCAGTCTCGTTACGACAATGCCACAGCTGATCGCCATGCCTCAGTTTCTTTCTGGATTAAGCAAAAGAATATCCAACTTGGGCTTAAACCAGTTTATACTGCTGATCCAAGTCCGTGTGGTTACAAGACTTTCCATGTCCTAAAAAGAGCAATTGGTCGGCAAGCATATCCGATGATCGATTTGATTTTGTAAAGAGCCATATACTGGAATTTATCTGGAATCCACCAGGTCGCTAAGACAAGTGCAGAAAAAGCACCTCTAGTACATATCAAAACATCGTCATTCTAGTTCAAAAGCTATTCAATCTTAAGGTTTCCTAGATTCGCTTGTACCCTTTGCTTTAGCAAAAGTAAACATCTATTGGGAAAATTTCATTTTATGTTTTCAGCTTCTAACTGAGGAAACAACTTGGCGTAAACAATAAATTAGTTTGAAATCTTTTAAAATACATGTGCCATTTATATATGCTCTAATCGCAGACGTCCATTTGTGCACTTCTTGCGCTTTGAACACACAGCAGGTGAGCTGCTAGTTTGCAACCTCATCTGTGGGTAAAATTTTAAAGACGCGGCTCATCTTAGACGCTGTTAATCTCTGGCTATTCAGGGCCGCTGTCTGTTACATTCTTAATTCTTCTAGCCTGGTCCTTTCTCTTTACATTTTAGTCTGCTCTCTTTTCGGCGATTTTTTTCCAGCGTTGCCCTTGTCGATAGGCAGTGACCAAGAAGCCCAAAAAAAATACAGGAGTGCAATTATGCGAAGAGAAAGTAAACTAGAGACACACACAGGAAGACACTAGTTCACCCACAAGACACAACAGAATTTTCCAACATCACAATGGTACAGCAAAGATAAACACCTTGTTAGTTCTGTCTACACCTTTTAAAATAAACACCCATTCAGCACAACACCGAGTTGCTTGCTCAGACTAACACGCGGACAAACAACGAACGAAAAGCTAGAAACAGTGTGAATCAAGACGAAGGAAGAGTGAGCACAAAAGCTATCAACTAGCTAGGTAGGAACTAGGTAGTACTCCCCATAGGCAGTAGGTATGCTGTGGAAATGGGCTGGTGATGAAGAATAGGCCAAAGGTAAAGAAGACAATAAACGAACCGCTAAGATTTTTAACGCTTGGCTATAGGCTGCCCATGTAAGTATCGCATAGACTTTACCGGCCAACTGCGCCTACCGAAGAGAGACTATAGAGGCAGGCCGGGGAAGAGGCAGCTGGCCTAACGATTTTGATACGAGGTGTTTCCTGAGAGCTTTGTTGGTGATGCGGTACAACATGAGTGCACCATCATGTGCCATCTCCGCATCGTACCATCGATAGTAAACACATCCTAGTTCAAAAACAACTGAGCAGGCTATTAACTTCGCAGACATGATCATATATTTTCTTTTAGCAAGTTCAGGGCAAATGCATTGGGTAGACCAGAACACACAGTTGCGTTATTCGGTGCTATTGAACCTTTACTCACTGTACCCTGCAGCTTGTGTCCTTAGGCTTTGATTCAGAAGTTAGCTTAATATTACTTCGAACCAGAGCTTACATGGAACGCTAGTAGTATCATGTTACTTCACCAGTCCATCTTCCCGCTGGATAGGCAAGATGGCAGCCAGAATATACGAATACGGCATGCATAACAAGAAGATTTACTGAAGGCACAGCTAAGTGGTATACAAGAAGACATGGGCAACTGGCATTCAGTCTGACTCAGATACTCAGATTCCAATAGTATGGGGTGTGTAAATTTATTTATATAGTACTTAAGAAAAAGGAATCCAGAAGTTTTATGGTGCACTGATACGATGGAGGGGTAAGCTTTTGGCTTTTTTTCTGATTCCTTTCTTCTTCTCTGCTTCGGTTGTCTCCCCTATCAAAGTTTACCACGCGGTAGATGCATCTTTCTCGTTAAGCTTCGATTAGTCTGAAAGGAGCGGTTTCAGTGGATAACAAACAAATCAGATCACTTAAGAGGCCGTGGCTTCAAATGACTGACGATGAGTCCTTCACTACCTAGGTCGATTATGCGAGCTGTGCATAAAGCGTTTCCGCCCTTAGCTGCTTCCAAAAAAATTCATTTGTTTGTCAGGTTCTCCTCCTAGCTCAACGCGCTGAGTCCCACGCAAGGTCTTATTCCTTGCTCTTTTACTGAACCCGACTCTATAGCAGCGCCTTGCTTACGCAGCTGTTCAATCGCTACCAACCTCTGTAGCCTGATACAACCGAGTCGCCTCCTCTTCTCCAACACTTTTCTGGCCGTTGCGACCTCAACTGCCATATGTGTTCCACAGCTGGAAACACGATGAAGATTGTTACTATGGGAAATTAACACATAGATATGACGATTGACGGAAACCAGTAACTGAGTTTTACACATTCCAGAAGTTAGCAATGAGAACTTTACGTAACATTGTTAGCACTTTTTTCTACCGTTGTCTCAATGCGCCCCATGTTACTGTTGCCCTACTGTGCGAAGCATTACAACGCACGTCTTCTAGTGCAAATGACTGGTCGATCACGACAAGTATGAACGCAATACTATTGATTATAAACTCAACACATCATTCATCATTGTCTAATTACTAGGTGATTGTACGTTGCTACCATTGGTACTACTGTCGAATATTATTGTCCTTTCCTGCGGTAAGCTCCAGTCATTGACGGTAATTCGAAACACCACATAAGCCCCCACCGGCTGCAGCTATTTCGGACTCGCGCATCATCACAACACCAAAATCAACACAATACCCAGTGGTCGAAATCGTTCCATGTCTCTGCGTGATTGTGCACGTCGTCTGCTATTCTTCACTGCTCTGTTACATGGTGCTCTGTTCTTTCTCCTGAGTTCTGCTCGAATTGAACAAGCAACGGCTGATCGCTGCGCCGTTCATTCATTCACCAGATCGTGGTACCACAACAGAGCGACCGAACGGCTGGGCCGCTGACCGGCTGTTGTGGTACCACGTGAAAGCACTGTAGCAGACGACATCGAATTCATCGCTGACACTGTCGGAGGAAGGGGCAAAGAAAGGCAGGTAGGAGAGGGCCCATTGGAGAGAGGGGAACACTTGACAGCTCACGCAGAATGCCGGAGTTTGTTCTGCAGCTGATGATGGTAATGCTGCCTGTGTGCGACCAATGACACATGCTGTTTTTATTTTTCTTTTTTTTTTTTATTTTAGTGCTGGTTTGGGCTAGTTATGGGTTGATTCTAGTGTTAAACCGCTTCCAATATATAGTCGACCGCTCATCAATACATACATATAAAGTTCACGCTACAGTTCCATTTAGTTTGTATATCTGTACCTTATCGCCGCAGCTGTTAGAGACTGCGTCTAATACGATTACTACTATTACTACTTAGAATGTTCTGGTTCTTGGAGAGCGTATATGGACCATGTAGGCTTGATTGGGTCCGAGTGTAGTGGGGCTCATTTTGTGGGCAGCAAACACTCTCCAAGCTGCACCGAACAGGAAGTCGCACTCAGATGTGTCGTTTGCTCGTTCAAGTGTTTGCAAGCGTTGTAACGGCCGGAAACTATATTATTCTTGAACTTACCAATTAAATCCATCTATGGTTAGTTTTTTTGCTAGTAATGGTAAATTATATTATGAAAGCAAATCTACGCATACTATTTAATTTCAGTTATACACAGATATGGGATTATCCTGCATTACGATAGTGGATTATTGCGTATTTCACGTTCCGTCTGTTCGATCCGGAAACAGTCGAAGCCGATAGTCTCGTTTGTTCTTATCCGGGTCGGATATCCTGACGGTTGAACAGATAGCAGAAAGATGATGGCGTCGTTAGGCTTCGACTGGCCCTTACTTGCTCCTCTGGAAAGTGGGTCATTTGACCTCTTTTCCCCAAATATGGAGCTTTCCCCTCGGTGGTCTCGCCAAGTGGCTGGCTAGGCCTCGCCGCAAGGACTCCACTCCTTTAGCCTTCTTTCCGGGGTCGAAAATCTGTTTCGCTCTTCCAAGCAACTTCCAGCGGCGGCCATCTTCTTTCCGCTGTTGTAGCGGACAAACAATATCCGAACATTCCATCCATTCAGCCAACGTGGGCCCGCCAGTCCGCGTGCGTTCAACCAATCACTACCACTCGCCCCTTCTTTCATCTCGCGATCTGCCCGCGTTGCGTGTCCTTACACTGACACTGCGCGCGGTTGCCACTGTTGTTACGAGCGCAACTACGGCCACGTAGCGTCCCTCTGTTATAGAAGTTTTAGTATACCCATAAGCTATTACTACTCAAGATGAGACAGGTGCGATCACACGTTCACTTTAATCATAGACATATTGCTTCCCTTTTCCCTTTCGATGAAATCTGTTCTAAACCCTTATTCTTGCCATAGTTACTTACGGGCTTACTGAAACACTGCAGGTAGACAGCGACACTGATCCGCCAGTTTGTGAGGGGTCGTTTAAAGCTTTGGCGAGGCAATGGCAGAACGGGCTGGGTCGTGTTTGATATCCGCAAGAACAACAGCGGCCATCGCCGCTGTGATCATCTCCTGCCGGCAAATCGTGCAGGGTCACGCTGGAGCCCACTTTGCGGACGGTTGCGTCTTCAAAGACAACAGCAGAAATAGCAGCAACAACTGTTATGACTATAAAGATTATGACGATAATTATCCTGGTGATGATGCTTATTGCGCAGTAACGATGTGTGAGTGGCAGCAATAAGCCGCGATAGCGAAATACGTTAACCAGTCGCAACCATTATTGATTCGCCTAGATTCTTTTTTTCAAGCGTTGTTGACATTACAAGCTCCTACGACTCCTACCATCGACTTCTTCAATGTGCTAGTACGCCTACAGACTACATTTACAAACACACATGCATATATATAAGGAACATGAGGGTTGTGTGAGAATATTAGTAGCACGTATAGTGTATATTACTGGTAACGAAAGAAGAGTGGTAAAGGTAGCCAACAAGCGACAGGCACATTCGAAAAGCCAGAGCACGCGATAACGGCACACAATCGACTGACTTCCTTTCCGCTTTATTAACTGCCTTTAAAAACGGTCGCGAGGACCACGGCAGCGATAACGAGTAGACAATCATGATCAGTATCAGTTAAGCTGTCGTCATCATCGTTTTTGTCGCCGTTGTTATTGGTCTCGGCCGCTGCTGTAGATGCTGACGCATATGGGAGAGGCAAAAATGGATGACGCCCCAGTAGTCTGGCCATACTGCGAACAGGCGGATTGGCAAACAGACAGACGGACGGACCGATCGCGTTCCGCTGCTACGGAAAAGAAAAGCGCTTTACATGGCAACGATAGAGAATTTGTGGAAGGAATCAACTCGGAATTGACTACTCTAGCGGTTTGAAGTCGACTGCTCAATCAAGCACCGCAAATAGTTGAGTGAATAAATAGGTTGCCGGTTTTACATCTCTATAGATTCATGCATCTTAGTTAAGTTCATGAGTGTATTAGTACTGTGGGTGTGAGCCACTACCTGAGCTGATGCACATATTTTGCTCATGTGGACGACTAATGACCTATGTATTAAATTGCTAGTCACCACAACGTTACTGCATTGTTAGCTTACGTATTACTGTTAAGGCTACCATTTCTGCATTTGTTGCATTCGCCCTCGACATCGTGATGGTTGCTATAGTTTTTTTATGGTTGTTGTTTGTTGTTGTCAGTAACAGTCTAATATTGGCAGTAGCAGCAGCAGAAATTGTCGCAGCGATGGCGGCAATTTCCAACACTTCGCAGGGTCAAAAGCCTCGTCAGGAAACCGACGAATGCCGGCAGGGAAACAGTCGGCCCGTTTCTGCTCGGCTGCGATAGACAACGCCAGAGTCTACAGGGCATAAAGAGGAAAAGGGCTCAGAATAGCATCTGTCAGTTGGTTCATTTGTCTATCATCATTGCGCCTTGAAAGTTCTGCAACCATGCTGTGTGCAGGACATCGAATGGTGAAACCCTGCAGATCATTAGACTCACACGCCGGACGCAATGATGCACAATTGCAGTAATAGAAGGTCGGAATTGAACACGTGGACCAACCACATTAAAAAACTTGACAGGGAACGAAGCTGAACGAAAACTAACATTAAAAATATTTCCTAAAATTCTGAAACTAAATTCCGAAATTTTGAACATTGCCTCTTATTTATCGTACGCAATTAATACCGTATTTGAAACCGTATATGAAAAACATTTGAACATGTTGGAGCGTAATATCTGTTTGCTAACAGAAATTCTAGGACAACACAGCTCTCCAATAAAAAAAATCATAGACAAGCTATAGATCTTAAAAAAAATGTTCTACACAGATGTATGTATTACGCCATTTTTTTTTACAAATTTACTGTATAGTTGTACAAATTTACAAACAAATTACTGTATAGTGCATCTTTTCCTCCATAAATATCCTCCACATCTGTAGCCATGGTCTATTTCGCCTTGTTTTCTGCTATCAACTCTTCCTATAAAAAAACTAACCAAAATTTATGCTTGATGTTCAGATGTATACTAGAGATGGGTGTCTGCCCCTGTGGCACCAGCAAAGCATCCGCTGAGCGAAACGGGGTGTACAGGGGTCTACCAATCTGATGAAGGGGACTTGTGGAATTGAGGGAAGCAAAGGGGCTCACAGGAGATCCGAACCAAAAAGGCTGGCAACCTTTGCGAAGTGTTGTTGCCTTCTGCGTCGTCATCCTCATCACCGGTCGCCTGTCGTACGTCACTTGGTTCGTCCTTCCGTCGTTGAACGGCTCGCTTGATTCTCCATGGATAGAGACACCAGCCAGTCAGACACGCAGTGCTCCGCTAACGGGTTAAGTGTTGGCTACCTAGCCAGACGCCATCAACATCAGCCGTCTAGCGAGCTATCGAGCCCTTGAACACTGTTGGCCACCAAACAGGCTTGCTTTCAAGATCTACTGTTCGGCCAATCCAAGTGATCTTTACATTATTCCTTTTGCATGTCCCTTTACTAGACCAGTTTCAACCAGTGTGGTTCCAGCTCCCTTCAGAGCCCCTAAAACATCTCACCCTGCCCGAAGGTTCACGGAGATGTTTCGACGGTAACGACGACGAAAACTAATCCCTTTGAGCCCCTCGAATAGCCCCGGTCCGTGTTTTCAGGGGGTGTTCAGGTCTGCTTGTCTATTACTTTCTATCTAGACCCCCTATCACGGGCTCATATACCCTTTGCCCCTCCTCCCCTTTGACGCTGTGTCTAACACGCAGAGCTCTGCTCTGTGGAATGTGTGGATCCTGCAATGTGTCTCCAACATTTTCAGCCCTCTGCCTCTGCCTGCCTTCAAGGGCAGCTCCCCACGTTCGTAGGAAAGGACCCTGAATTCGCGTACGTTTGAGGGAGCCAAGAGCTAAGGGATCAAAGGGGAGCGTTCTAGTCTTCCTTTGGTTGGTGGCGGTCCCGGCGTCATGGTTCTAACACCACCGACGCCGAATAGTGCTTCTGCCAGGGGCAAAGGACCGTCAAATCTCGTTGTGAGCTTCAGTGTACGATGAGACCACCACGTTGTCTGTTCGCCTTCCTAAGGGGCTGTCGGTCTTCGTCCCCGGTGGACCTATGACTGAGGGAAAAAGTCAAAGCCTCATACCGCCTGAGAGGGAATGGGTCAAAACGGGTAGGCTTGATTCGCTGGTCACCGCTGCTGATGCTGCTGAGTCTACCAGACTTCTCGTCGTCGTTGTCGATGTTTTGCGCACTCTTTCTTTTATGAAAGGAGGATGCGTACGCGTGTGTGCCCATGGTGCCAAGTCAGGTACAACAGAGCAGAATGGGGCAGGCCAAGCTAAATCTAAGAAACGCGACAGCGTAGACTAACACAAACAAAGCAAGCTACTGCTGCTGTTGTAACTGTTTCAGTTAGACACCACCGGCAACAAGAGTACGCCGAGCGCCGGCTAAATACTCGCAAGAATTACATATATAGCTGAGAAGCGGGC